GTAAAAGGACAAATTAAAAATAGTTAAAAAATATCAAGAATATTTCGGCATTCTTTGACCAAACTTGATTTGGAAAAAACAATTTCCCAAATTTTCAAATAATACTCATTTTGATTGTTACTTATGATGGGAAACATGTATGCTTTTAAAATGATCCACTCATGAAGTATATTATTCAAACCACATCCTACACCAATTAAAAATTCAGAAAAATGTTCAACAACTTCACCGATAGCTTTATCGCCAAAAGTACCGTCATTCACATTTAACGGCCAGTTATAAACGTCAAGTAAAGCTACCAAATGCATAAACAATGGTGATTTTTGGAGAGATTGAAAACGGCCTTCCATACATATGGTAATATTTGCAATAATTAGTTTGTACTGGTCAAGAACATGGCTATTAACTTTGGTATATTGAGAAAGTGGAATATTTTGATAACATTGCTTTGAATCAATTGTCTCAATATCTTTAGACAGTCTTTTATAATGGGTCATAACACTTGTATCATCAAGAAAATTGTCTAACAAATTTTCTAAAAGAATTTGCAGTTTGGCTATTGTCCATGTAAATTTTTGGACTCTTCTTACAGCTTTTACTGGATCATGAATATTGTTCTGAAAACTTAAACTCAAAGGCCGAAGGGGAGATAAAACATCAAGATATATTGATAAATTAATAGGCACAGACGCATTTTTCCATTGCTTTAAAAAACCTTTTAACTCTGCTCTCTTTGCTATCTGGGAGTCTGTTATAGCCAATGATTCAATATGTGTCATAAACACACCATAATTTTCTAAAGCAATTTTCATTGCTTTATACTTGTGATCAATCCACCGAGTTCCGCATGCATTTGTTGGTTTCGGAACGCTATTACCCCAAGCTTCGGCTAATCCTTGTAGTTCTTGGTAGCGCTTTGGTGACTTTTGATACAAGTAATAAAGTTGTAGAAGGAGTTCGTCAACAGTTTTGAAGGCAGATAAACTTTCAAACGCATCTTTTAAAGCAAGTTCAAGTCGATGGTTAAAACAGTGCACAACTTCCAGCCAAGGAGAACCTTCCTTTAGTAATGCGCCTAAACCAGCATAAGCTCCTAGATTAACGTTAGCTCCATCAAGATTTACACCCAATAGATGTTTATAAGAATTGGTAATGCCAACTCTTGTAAAAGCGTCTGATATACATTTTTTCAGGCCAACAGCATTAGAATTCTCTGAAATAAAGAATGTAAATTAATTCCTGTTCCGATACAGCTGAATCTGTGCTTCCATCACAGAGAACACAGTAAAATCTACAATTTTTTAAACATTCAGTTAATTTGTTTTTTAATACGGTGCCAATGTAATCTGTAAATATTGCAGCTGCACGGTCAGTGCCATAAGAATTTCCTAAATTTGTAACCCCATTAGTCTTTTCTAATGCAATCAAATAAGGATAATCTGTGAATGGACGCTCTCGTTTTGCCAAGTAATATGCAATATTAAACTTTTTCCATAACGAGTCGGCGTCTTTTACGGCCATTTTACGTAAACCACGCCCGATAGGAGTATTATGAATAACATGGTTAAATAATGAAACTGAACCTAATGTAGTTTGTTGATGAATTTGCGTGGCCTCTTTATGTTGCGCACTACTTAAGTGCGCTGCCAGTGAGTCTTTTTTTATTGATATTGTTCCTGGTTTGATCCAGGTCATAGAAAACAATTTTGTTTGACTTATCTATTTTTCAAATTTTTTACATAAACTGCATCTTAATCTTATAACTTCATCTCCATTTAAATCGTATTCTAACTCGCAATTCAAAAGTTTTTCCCACTTTTTAACTGTAGATAATCTGTGTCTGTGGTCCTTTTTGCATCCATTTATTGCTATTAATTTAAAGTTAGCAAGTATACTAACAAACTTTAGAGAGTTTTTTTTTAATAACTAGTTTAGAGTCTGTATTGCCTTCCACAATTCTTCGCAAATTAAACTTATAAAAATATCATTAAATTTGTTCATAATGAAAGAGCAAAATCAGAATAAAGTCCTTGAGAATTCGAGTTAAGAAAATGACTTTTCAATCAATTAACTTTTATTTCTTTTTTTAATCAAAATCTTTTATTACTTGATTCGAAAAGGTATTTTTTTACATTTTTACTAATACATTTTTGCTAATTGATTTTCTAAATATTTTATTTTTCTTTCTTTTATTCTATGCTCAGCTTTTTAAAAAATTTATTTTTACAGAAGTCACTGCAGTTTTATACTGTAAAAGAACGCTAAATATTCGCGATTAATATTAATTATCTAAAATTAGATTTTTCTAAAATGATAAAAGAATAATCGCGAAAAAAAGAAAGGTTGCGAAAAAACAAATTTTAAGAAAAAACTAATCGCAAAGGTGCGAAAAGTAATCGCGAATCGAAATACGCTTAATTCGAGCCCTGATATATAATATATATATATAAATATATATATATATATATACATATATATATATATATATATATATATATATATATATATATATATATATATATATATATATATATATATATATATATATATATACATACATATATATATATATATATATATAATATATATATATATATATATATATATATATATATATATATATATATATATATATATATATATATATATATATATATACAAGCCTTCTCAGGAGATGCGTGCGGTTGCACGCCTTGAATGACCACCCATATATAATTTTTTGTTGATAACATGGCCACGATTTTTTTTTGCATTTATTAAAAATGACGCATCTGAAAAAAAAAACGCGCTGAAAAAACAAAATTAATTGCTCATCTTTTTTTAATTATTAATAAAAATTCATTATTATAGTTATTAATGAGAAAATTCATTATTATAGTTATTAATGAGAAAATAGAAACATTAAAATAACATATCTATATATGTTATTTTAATGTTTCTATTTTCTTTTTTTCTATTTTTAACTTACGTTACACGTGCAATAACTTTACCAAATATTAGCTTATTTAAACTTTTAAATTAAACTTTTAGCAATTTTGTATAAAAGCTGTTAGTCTAATAAATAAAATAAGTTTAAAAGTTTTGTGTTCGGCCGAAAGAAAGCAAACTTATTACTAAAAATGCCACTTGCACTGATGTTACACGGAAAACAAGGTAAAAAAACGAATTCAACTTATAGGTCTCATTTCTGCGAATCAGTAAATCAGTTTGTATTAGAAACTTTTACAAAAGGCAGATAATTCTATACCAATTTAAAATTTTTATAAAAACTTTTTTAAAATAAACTTGTTTTTTTGATACTGTATTTTTTACTTAAATTACATCACTTACATTATCGAGCGGTTATCATGATTTTTTTTAATATATTATTAAGAGTTAGAGTTACGTAACAAAAGAATTGCATAAGTATTGAACTCATTCATTAAAAAAAATTAACAAAGAAATTTTTTAAAAACTGGTGGCACTCTTCCTGAGTGATTTTTCATAACTTTCATGAAAGTTATCAGACCGGAAATAATTTATTCGCAAGACCAAGAGTAACTTCAGAAAAATATTTTAGTTTTACATCTTTATTATTACTTAATTGAGTAATTGGTTTGTTGAAGTTTCTATTTACACTTCTTACGTTTATGCGTATTGCTTTATTTTTATAAGATTGAAATTTTATAATGCTGCTAAGCAGAGCCGGCGCGAGTAGGGGTCACGCGGGGGGGGGGGGGGGGGGGTGCCATAACAATTTTTGGTGTCTTAAAAATAAAAAAATATATAAAAAAAAAAAGTCCTCGTTTTTAAAATTTACCGACTGCCATAACGACATTTGCCGAACCTATCGACAGAGTCTACATTAGCCGACTAACTAGTCAAAAAGGGTCACATTTGCCGACTAAGGGTCAAATTTGCCGACTAAAAATCATTGATGGGGGGGGGGTCACACACACCCTTATCGCGCTGGCTTTGCTGCTAAGTTAAATTTTTAAATATTTAAATCTTTTCTAAACATTTATATGTCCACCAAAATAATAGTAAATAAACAAACAAAACAAAAAAACAATAAAATTAATAATTTTAATACATTTGAAAAATTTTTTTTTTTTTTTTAATTCTCCTTATATACAAAAATTTCGGTTAAAACCTTGTCAAGCCAACAGGAAGAAATAATAATTACTTAATGACGTAATTCATTTAGTAAATAAAAACTTAACGAAAAATCGCCAGATTTTTATTAAATGCATGAAAACAAATAAATATATATATATATTTATATATTATTTTTATCTTTTTATTTTGTCATTAATTACAAATATATATGCATTATTGTTAGGTTTTAATTTTCTCATAAATAATTGTAATAATAAATTATTATTAATAAAAAAAAACCAATAAAATGACTAATTAGTTTGATTTTTTCAGCGCGTTTTTAAAATGCGTCATTTTTAATAAATGCAAAAAAAATCGTGGCCATGTTATCAACAAAAAAATATATATTCGTGGTCATTCAAGGCGTGCGACCGCACGCGTCTCCTGAGAAGGCCTGATATATATATATATATATATATATATATATATATATATATATATATATATATATATATATATATATATATATATATATATATATATATATGTACATATACATATACATATATATATATATATATATATATATATATATATATATATATATATATATATATATATATATATATATATTTATATATATTTATATATATTTATATATATTTATATATATATATATATATAATATATATAATGCCAACAGAGACAGAACAACTATGTTCTTATTCTAATTTTATGATTCCAAATAGCAATTTATGTATGTAAATACAGCTGTGCCTCCTAACTGCAAACTTTTCCTGATATCTTTAATAGTCTTAACAGCAAACTCTTCTGAGGTTGATTAAATAGTTAAAATGAGGGATTCTGTGAGGAAAAGCTCCATTTTAAACTTAATTATCTTGTCTTTTCAGCAGTCGCAACAGTGTTATTATGTGATTTGGGCCATCTGTGTTTCACTTTCATATCACATTAATTTTTTGAAATGCAATTGTACCGCTTTTTTAATTGTTCTTGTTGTTTTTTGAAGCATATTTCTTCTAAATTCAAAATGAGTTTTAAAAGTACATTTTCTTTCATTTCCAAATGCTATCATTTATTATATTAACTATATTTTCAAATGCTATTGTATCATTTTTACTAAAGCTTTTATTAACTCATTGTCTCTTGCAATCAATTTTTGAATCACTTCCTGATGATAGATTTTCTTTAAATTTTGCATACATACTCTTTCTTGATGACAATACAATTTTCAATAAATAGTTTTGTAATAAGTCAATTAATTTAGTTAATTTTAACTTTTTTTTATATAGAAAAAACAATACTTTTTAAAACAAGTATATTAATTGTTTTCATACTTATGCAGGGACCCGCATCTTGCTCAACTCTTTATTTTTTTTTACACATGCAAACATAAAATAAAACAGTAATATCAGAAAAAATTGATTGCAAAATTTTTGTTTTATTAAATACAAAAACAGTGGGTTTTAAAAATTCGTTTTTATTTAAACCTTATAATCGCATTTTGAATCACATGAATGGTCAGTTTAATCATTAATAACACTGAATATCTTTTGTTTTTATTAGCAAAACGAATTTTTATTTTAACTTTTTGAAACAAAATTATCAAAATAAAAAACATTTTTAAGATGCACGGGAAAAATAATTATTAGAACGCAATTAATGATGTATTGTGGAAATTCTTTTTTTGTAAATAAAAAAAAGTCTTAGTATAATGAAAAATGTTTCATACATTAAAAACATGTTTTAAACATTCAATTAAATTTGATTGAAGATTGAGAAATAATAATAGAAAACTTTGCTTTAAATAAAACATATCTTTGCATTTTTGACTTTCAAATTATTAACTTCACCTAATAAAACCTTTGTTAAGATTAACAAAAAGAAAAGAAACAATGCAGATATAAGGTTTAGCAAATTCTCTCAAAATTTTATTCACATAAAGCTAAGCAATTTACTCCGAAAACCCTGAGTTGTTCAGCTTTTGAGTTGAAAAATGCTGAGTTGTTCAGCTTTATGTGAATTATAGTTTGAGAACTAGTTTGAATTTTTTGAATTTGATTTGTTGAAGTTTTTATTCACATAAAGCTGACCAATTACTGAGTGAAAGCATTTGCTTTTTTTTTATTCACCTAGCCTATTGACTACGATGAAAATGACAACACAACTTTAATTTATTTAATTAATAAATTAATTAATTCACTTTTTAATAAATCGTTTGTTATTAAACATATTTTAGTAGTCAGATGTTTAAATTTTTTTCTTAAGTATTTTCACCCGAGAAAAAATACAAAAAAAGCTGTTTTAGTTGCCACAGGGTGACCGGGAAAAAAACCAGAGGGTACACCACTGTAAGGTAATACATAAAAAGAACATTATATTTTCGGATTTCAATAATTTCCCGCAATAAAACCCTTCATGGATAAAAATTATTTTTTTAGATTTTTAAAATTTTTAAATTCACATAAAGTGGCACCATAAAAATTATCCACTAAATTGAAAATTAAAAATTTTGAAAGTGTGATGTACCTTAGTATGTGTGTATGCATATATGCATGTATGTATATAAATTGGAATTTTGACACATTTTCACATTTATAAACAACATGGTACAAATATCTTTTATATAAATACTTACCACAAATTTGAACAATATCTTTTCTGACAAGTGGTTCACCACCAGTAAGTCGAATTTTATTAACACCTTCAAAAACAAACAATCTTGCTAATCTTATCATTTCTTCATTTGTTAAAAGATCATCTTTGTTTGTTAATAAGACACCTTCTTCTGGCATGCAATAACCACCTTTAAAAACATGTAGTAAAACCTAAATGCCTCATTTTAAATAAAACAAAAACATTATAAAGTATATTAAAAATAAAAATTTTGTTTTGAAAAAAAGAATGTAACTGGAAACTCTATAATAAGTCATACATGTAATTAACATGTTGACATTACAATTTCCTGTATGACAGTCAGTTTATATAATTGTTACGTTTACGATTTTTGTAATTTAGTTTTAGAAGAGAAGAGAGCAATTGTGTATGCTTAAAATTATGTTATTATACATGGCGCTATGAGTAGGATTCAGTCGAAGTATGAGTATGAGAAGGATTCAGTCGAAGTATGAGTATGAGAAGGATTTAGTCGAAGTATGAGTAGGATTCAGTCAAAGTATGAGTATGAGAAGGATTTAGCCGAAACAAAAATTTAAAAGTTAAATTAAAGTAAGTATTATTTAACAAAAAAAAAAAAGTTATTTTCAGAATACTATATTACAGCTACAACGCAAAAAAAAAATTATCACAACTAGTTATAAATATGGCAACTCATAAATCAAAAACAACATTTGAATTCAAAAGTTTCAACAAAAAAGCTCTACAGATGATGTTAGACATCCAACAACAACAAATGCATATGCAGAACCAAATGACCGAAATAATGAAAATGATAATGTCATCACAAAACCAAAATAATATCTCATTATTAACTTCAGCAAACAATGTTATTACACAACCATTGGAAATCAAGCGACCATCCATAGAATCCGATGTCTCAGACAATAATTTTCCTCGACTCATGGATGAGGTATAAAGAAATATAAAAATTAACTGAACCAAGAGATATCTATAATGAACTATGACTGACTTGCAGCGCAACAGTCAACGAGATGCTTTTCAATTTTGTTGGTCCGGAAAATCTAAATAATTCCGACGAAGCAGAGCTTCTAGCTCATATCGAATCAGTTTCGGTTAAATCAATCTATCACAAAGTATACAGAAAACAATTCTCCTCAATGAAACAATCTGACATAAAAACAATTACAAATCTTATCGTAAGAATAAAATCACAAGCAATGCTCTGTGACTTTAAAGATAATGTGATTGTTTAACCTATAAATATACATCTAATTATTCATAAGATATCAAATCACAATTAATAGCAGGAACCAACAACACCACACACCAAAACGAAATTCTAACGGAAATCAATTAGTTAACAACATTAAAAAAGCTAACCAAACGCCTATTAATAATGTAGTCTACCGAGAAGGTGTTCCTTTATTTCCAAAACACAAGCGATAATACAAATAGCAGAGTAGCCCAGCTAAAATAAAACTATCAAAACACATCACACCAAAATCATTTGATTCCAAAACCATATCCAAACATTAAATTGCACAGGATGCGAAAAAAGAATGTCTCCTTTGTCGCATCCTGTGGCTGTTTTACTAGAACTACAAGTCCACCATTACCCAAAGTGATGCCAATTGTCGCTACAATAGAAAATCGCTTAGCAATTAAAAACTATATAAAAAATTTTTATGCGAACATCACATTTAATACATGTACACACCAAAAACTACAATCAATAACAGTAAGACCATTAAAAATTACATTTAAGGATGGGGTCATTTCAAGTACAGTACATAAACCAATACCAATACCACATCATTGGCGAAACAAGGTAAAAATGAAACTGGATGACGACGTAGCACTCGGTATTATTGAACCAGTACCACAAGGAACCCCAACAGAATGGTGTTCCATAATGGTCATTGTACCAAAGAAAGACGGTTCACCTTGAAGAACTGTTGACCTACAACGTTTAAACGACGGGACATTGAGAGAAATGCATCACACTAATTCACCATTTAATATTATTAATCAATTCCCAATGGGTAAAAAGATGACAACCATTAACGCTTGGAATGGATATCATTGTGTACCTCTCTCATAAACTGCTAAAAAGGCCACAACCTTTATTACAGAATGGGGGCGCTATCACTATTTAAGAGCACCACAAGGATTCCATGCATCAAACGATGGATACACTAAACATTTTGATGATATAACCCAGAACTTTCCACGAGTTGTCAGATGTATTGATGATTCTCTACTTTGGGATAATGACATTGAATTCTTGTTTTGGCATACTATGTCCTATATTTAACTATGCTCAGACAACGAAATAGTTTTAATCCTGAAAAATTTAAATTCGCCTTGGACAACATTGAATTTGCTGGGTTTGAGTTAACCATGACAGGATACAGACCTTTCAATAAACTTTTAGACACAATAGAAAATTTTCCATCACTAAAAAATATTACCTAGATTTGCTCATGGTTTGGCCTTATCACACAGGTATCATACCCTTTTTCTCAGACACCAATAATGACTCCATTCCATACCCTGTTAAGCAAATAAGGTAAATTTTATTAGGACCAAACCCTTGAAAACCTTTTTCAAGAATTTAAGCTTAAAATAATCAAATTAATAAAAGAAGGCGTATAAGCATTTGACACAAATCGTCAAACTTGTTTATCTACGTATATAGTAAATCAGGTATAGGTTTTATACTAACACAAAAGCATTGTGAAAACCCTGACATTGATAATCCAATATGCAGCCCATCTCATTGGAAAATTGTTTATGCCAGCTACTGGTTTGCAAAAAATGTCAAAAGTCGATACGCCACCATTGAAGCCGAATCTTTAGCATTATTATATGGTTTAGAAAGTTGCAAAATGTTTGTGATGGGATGTCCTAACCTAATTGTTGCAGTTGACCATAAACCATTAGTAAAAATATTCAATGATCAAAACCTAGACGAGATCAAGAATCCTGGAATCCTTAAAATACCCAAAAAAAACACTAGTGTATAAATTCAAAGTCATTTCGATCCCCGGAAAACATAACCTTGCTCCTGATGCTATGTTACGAATTACTAACAATAACAGTAATACTTCAAACAAAACATGCGATATTGAAAGTGGCTTATTAGGAACCATTCATTCTTTATTTAATCATTTCAACGGCCCTATTAAAATGGATTATTACAGAATCATCAATCGACTCTACATATCAAGATTTATTGCAACATATACAAACAGGATTCCCAGAAAACAAACAAAATATACCAACACAATTCTCAAGTTGGACAGAAATAGCATCAACCAAAGCTAACTCAAAAACATTCTTTATTTGTAATGTACTCAGAAAATATTTTATTACCTTCGGAATTCCCGAGGAGATATCAGGAGACGGAGAACCACAGTTTAGTTCTTACAAGATGAAATCCTTTTTAAATGATTGGGCTGTAAAATATCGCTTATTCTCCGCCTACTATCCACAAAGCAACAGCTGAGCAGAGTCTGCTGTAAAGTCTATGGAACGTTTATAACAACAAATATCAGCCCAAGTGGATCGTTAAACACTAAGGAAGTGGGAAGAGCATTACTATTGCACAGAAACACACCAGCCCAAGACATTGGAGCATCACCAGCCGAATTATTATTTGGAAAAACATTAAATGAATACTTACCCAACCCAATGCAATTTAGAAAAGAATGGTCTAAATTGGCTGATATGTGTGAAAAAGCAGCATTAAAACAATATCATATTTCATTAAAGTTTAAAAAATTACAACACCACTGTCCACTAACTGTAGGTTCAAACATAGTGATTCAAAACCAGCATGGCAACCTAACCTTAAAATGGAAAACACATGACAAATTATCGAAACCTTACCACATCAACAATATAGAGTAAGAATAGATGGTAGCCTAAGACATATTTTATGCAATCAAAGATTTTTACAAGAAATATCCCCACCGACAAAAAACCACATTATTCCGAACAATCAATATCATCCAAAAAGGAGATTTCACTAGTATGTTGTTTTGTTTTACAAAACAACATACTAGTGAAATCACACTTACCTATTGAAAGCTTGTATAATACGTCATACATGTAATTAATATGTTTATACAATTTCCTGTATGACATTCATTTAATATAATGGTTGCGTTTACAATTTTTGTAATTTAGTTTTAGAAAAGAAGAGAACAATCCTGTATGCTTAAAATTATGTTATTATACAAAAACCAAGAATTTGCAAACCTATGTACTAAATTATAGTGAACATTGCAACCCCTCTAGTACTACAAAATACAAGCGGAGACACTAATGTGTTAGATTTTTTGTTTAAATATGGCAAAAAATTTTAAACGCCAGAAAAATATATAAAATAATGAGATAAATTATTTTTATACTATAATAGACACTTAAAGATACCTAAATGATACTTAAGTTCTGCACTTAAATCTAGTTTCAAATATAATTTAGTGACATATGTGACATTGAAAACATTTCTTTTTTCAGCTCATAAAAAAGATATCTTATTCAGTTCTCATAAAATGAATAATTTTTCCTTCAAGGTTTAAATGGCAAGCATAATAAAGAGGTGCAAACTTAGCAGCTGTTAATTTTGCAATGGATTTTATATATGGTGTCCATGAGAAATCAGTAGTGAATAATAATAAGAAATGGAGAATCATTCTTGCTTAAGAGAATTCTTTTCACAAAGGGAATTTAAAAAAATTTTTTCTGGTTAATTTAATTTTTATAATTTTATTATAAAATAATCTTTTTCAAATAAATGATTTCATAAGTATTATTTGTCATAGTTATACTGCTTAAAAGTTTTTTAATGTTGTTAAATATTAAATTTATTTATATTATGGTACTTAAGAATGAGCTAATAAAGCAGTTTAATTTTTAATGGTGTAAATATGTAAGCATTGTTGAGCTACATTTACATGCATCATGCTTTTCTGTTACACAACGATACCTCATAACTATACCAGTTTCATATCTACATTCTTCCTGACAATCTTACATCTAAAGTGGATTTATTTATATTTGTTGAAGTCTCAACTTTATACTCTTGTATTAACAAAAAGTCTTATTTTTTTGATCACTTAGAACTGGCAGCCAGTTTTGAATCTAATCTCTCTTCTGTAACAGCTTGGAACTATGAATTTTAACTCCAACAAAACAGTTATTTACTGCAAACAATAATTGGAATATTCTAGAAATTACTATATTGGTAAATAACAATCCTCTCACTGAGTTCTCTTCTTTACATTTACTTAGATTATCATTCACTACAGACATCTCATAATAACCATATATACAATTGATTGCAAAGTTAGCATTTGCTATGTTTGCTTCTCTTTATCGTACTTGTCAACATCTTATTCCTGATTCCATTCTCTACCTCTAATTGTACCTAAAAACTATTATTTGTCCCTGTAAGGAAAACTATTGTCATACTTAGGTTGATGCTTCTAACGTAGTAGCAGCCCAAATATGACAACAGTATTTCATACATTATTCTATAAATCTTTCTCTTCTAGACAAGGTTCAAAAACACATTGTAAATGTTTACAATGCGTTGATCTTCTCTCCTATCTTGGTAAGGTTGTATTTTTTCTTTTTTTCTACAAGTACTGTCATGTTCAGTGCTTAAAGGAGCTATCATCTCTAGTTCCATCAACCAAAATTCATTCTTAATCAGTTAAAGCCACATTTTTTTACATTTATTTTGTATCTGATCCTTCATGCTTTAAAAGTTTTTATTCATCTATTTTTTCCCCCGTACCTCACAGCTTTTGAACACTCTCCCATCTTCCTAACTCATACAACCTTCAATTTTTCAAGTCTTCTGTCAACCATTTCTTTGCTCTTTTACTCTATTCTTTGTTTTCTAGTAACTCCCAACGTAATACTGGTTACTTAAAGCCTTTTTGGGAGTAAACTAGATTAAAATTAAAAAAACAAACATGTAACACATGTAAAAAAAAAATCACTTTACTTTTTACCAAATTTCATGGTAATGTTAAGAAGGGTAACATCAAATGGCCAGAGTGGTTTTCTAATCTAAACCAATTAGATTTCAACAAACCTGTTAAAACTAAAAGAGATTACTGAATAACTGAAGAGATTACAATTACTGAAATCAAGCTGCATTTATTAAAAATAACAACTAAAAATAACAACTGAAAACTTTGCTAAAAGTAAATGACATCAGAGACATGGAGAGCATTTATTTAATTTATTATTTAGCTGACATAACATTTCATAAAAGATTAATAACAATAAAACAGATTTTTCTAACATTTTTTTCTCCTTTAGTCCAAATTGTTATATTTTTCCATTAATTAATACCTTAATAAAGTGCCTGATAAAAAAAATATCTTACATCTTAAATTGCACCTTTCAGTCAGTGATATTCTCAAATAATTGTGTCTTCTTCCAAATGAATCAGTAAGAAATGATGAGAATGTCTTCTTATCATGTGGAACCTTTGAATAAAAGTAAATATCAAACGAGCACTCAGCAAGAAACTTAAATTTTTTTTATAAAAAAAAATACCTTATCTGAAAACAAGCGCACCAAAGATTCCTTTCTTTTTAAATATTTGCTTATTTTGAAAATTTTTAGTAAAGACTCCATGACTCCACGACTAACTGTTTAAATTATCGACTAACCTATCGAAAGAGTCTACATTTGCCGACTAACTGGTCAAATTTGCCGATTAAGGGTCAAATTTGCTGACTAAAAATCATTGATAGGGGGGTGTCACACCCCCACACCATCCTATCGCGCCGGCCTTGTCCACCACCCCCAGCTGACATAACATTTTATAAAAGATTAATAACAATAAAACAGATTTTTTTAACATTTTTTTCTCCTTTAGTCCAAATTGTTATATTTTTCCATTAATTAAGACCTTAATAAAGTGCCTGATAAAAAAAATATTTTACATCTTAAATTGCACCTTTCAGTCAGTGATATTCTCAAATAATTGTGTTTTCTTCCAAATGAATCAGTAAGAAATGATGAGAATGTCTTCTTATCATGTGGAACCTTTGAATAAAAGTAAATATCAAACGAGCACTCAGCAAGAAACTTAAATTTTTTTTATAAAAAAAAATACCTTATCTGAAAACAAGCGCACCAAAGATTCCTTTCTTTTTAAATATTTGCTTATTTTGAAAATTTTTAGTAAAGACTCCATGACTCCACGACTAACTGTCTAAATTATCGACTAACCTATCGAAAGAGTCTACATTTGCCGACTAACTGGTCAAATTTGCCGATTAAGGGTCAAATTTGCTGACTAAAAATCATTGATAGGGGGGTGTCACACCCCCACACCATCCTATCGCGCCGGCCTTGTCCACCACCCCCACCTTTGATTTAAAAAAATAGAAAATAAAAATTTAAAATTAATAAAAAACTTTAAAAAAAAAATATCATTACTTATTAAAAGTTGTAAAAATTATATTTCAGACCACAAACAAATGAGAGGTGTATTTTGGAAATGGAGCAGAATGCGGTGGTAATAGTTTAAAACACCCTTTCAAAATGTTTTCTCCTTATAAATAAACTTATATTTATTAAAACTGAGATTAGTATACAATTTAAAATACAAAAAAATCAAAATTATGTTTTACAAGAGTTTACATGGAAGTAGCGGTGCAGACATCAACTTATGAGAGGTTGTGTTATCCATATCCCCCCTAATAATCTTAAAACAGAAAACTTAATTACTAAATGAAAAGTTTTCAAAATAAAAATTGAATTTAAATTTTTTTAAATATTAGTAAACTTCTCTTCCTATTTTATATATATATATATTTTTTTTAATTTTTTTTTTGTTTAATAAAGTTTTTTATTCTTCTATCATACATCAGGGTTGAAATACTAAATACTATATGGTTAATGGCATACTCTGCCATTAATCGTATAATATTTAGTATTTCATGCTTAGTAAAAAACATTGTTATCCAAACTCATGAATGTTATTTAGAAATTTAACAGAAGTATAATGTGCAAATGGTATACGCCAGGGTCTGTGTTTAGTGGTAGTTTAGTTTTATTGTTGCAGAAAATATTTTTTATTTTACGATTTTCCACTCTTGACGGCTGGCGCCCCATCGAAGCTTGGCGCCTGGGGCCTAAGCCCCCTAGTCCCTCCCTAAATACGTTTCTGCATTAACTCTTAAATTATTGCGACAAGATCTGTTATCTAGATATCTATTTTCCATAGCTATTTCTTCATTTTCTTCATTGATCTTTAGATTAAGTAGAGAGAACATCTCCTTAATGTTTTACGTATGAAAGTTATCATCTTCATCGCTAGATTTTTTTAAAAAAAGTCTTATAACTTGAGATTTACTAAAACTAAGTTCTTTTTCAAGATTAACTAGTCTGTCTGATATTATTTTTATGTTGGAACTGATTATTTTTATAAAAATTTCTTCTCTTTTTTGTTTTTTTTTTTATGTTATAGCTTTTTAGTTGTTTTTTTAAATGTTTTACTTCTGATCTTCAAGCTTAGATATTTTTAGTTACTCGATAGTTTTCATCGATAAATCCATTTTTGCAAAATTGACCTTTTCCCATAAAGCAATGCATTATGGTATTTGTATATACAGAAAAATCAAAAACTCGCGATTCATAGTTTTTTTAATTTTTCATTGTTTCGTGGCTTGCTCGTACATAGGTAACAGTTTTCTCTCTTATAATTAATTACATTTACGCCAAAAATCTTTCATAAATCTTATTATCTCCGCAGGAGAATATAAAATATTTAAATATTTCAACGCAGTTGAAGTTAAATTTTGTTAGAGAAGCTTGTTTGAAGTATATTTTACAAGTATACATATGTAAAAGAATATATAATTAACTCTATAAATATTTCTGCTAGATCTAGCTTTTTAAAAAGCCCTTAGCTTTCCACTAAATGCGACAAATTTGTGTAATTACAAACAAGTAATTTAACAGCGGCGAAAACAAAATAATCTCTAAAAATGTAATTTAATGGTCAAAACACAACAATGGTCAACATAGAGATGTTTTTGATAACATATCAACATATATTTACTAATATAGTATCAGATTATATTTTGAAAGAAAAGCTACTAAACATAAAATAGCTGGTTATCAGTTATTCAGAGAACTTTAAGAGAACTATGTAAAATAAATTAGATTTAAACCAAATATTTTATTATATAGAATTAAACCAAGGAACGACAATTGCTGTGTTAATTTTTTTTTTTTTTTATTTTATTTTACTTCACCTCCTCAAGGCCGAGAAGGCCACTACAGACGAGGAGGCTACTTATTTTGTGGCTATAACCCTCTCTCAACTCTATAACCCCGAAACACGAACCTTGACGAACAAGGCCGCTGCGTGGAGAAACGAGTTGAGCGCGGTACTACCAGGGACGTGGTGGGAAACGAACTCGGAACCACTCGTTTATGAAGCGAGGGCTCTACCACTACACCACTACCGCATATTTTTAATTAATAATTAAAATAATTATTAAAATTATTTTAATTAAAATCATTTTGTGAAATATTTACTAACGAATAAATGAAAAAATGTTGAAAAGTTTAAGCCTAGTTATAATGGAAAAATTTCTTCACTGTCTGGACCATTTAATTAAAACTAATTTGACTGAGGAAAATTAAAGTTTTCCATTATATTAATCAATTTTAAGAAAACAATTACATCAGAGACTAAAGATCAATTTGAAAATGAAAACTGGTTCAATAAGATTTTACTTTGGGAATACATTTTATTTTCAGTTTATAATTAAAAAAATATTTGCATAAACAATAAATTTTTATGTTTTACTCAGTTGCTAAAGCATTTAGGTTCAAAAATGTAAAATCCCGACTTTTTTTTTTGGTTGAAAAACATTGTTTGGTGCACTTGTTGTTTTTTTTTTTTTTTTTTTTTTTTTATTTTTTTGTTCTTTTATTACATGTAAAATAAGCATTTCGTTACAATATTTCAAATACAAATATATAATAATAAATTTATATATAAATATAATGGTCGTTATTAGAAAATAAAAGCACGCGGGGACTCGTAGAAGACCATACGGTCTTGTCGTCGAGTACCGCTAAGAAATGTTCGTGTTAAAATTAAAAAGATAATTACAAGGTTAAAAAATAAAAATAAGTTAACAAAAGTAAGAAACTCAAAATAATCCATAATAAATACAAAATGCGTTTTATCTATTATATATGTAAATTATAGTTGTTAAGGATACACATATACTTTTTATAAGTTCATGTTTAAATAAAGATCACAAAAAATATCAGAAGTATATTGTTAAATCATCGATTGCAAAAATGAGTTCTTTAAGCTTTTGTTTAAAAGAAAAGTAGTTACTTTGATTAATAAAATCCTCAGTAAAATTTTTTTAAACTATTTTGTTCCATAAGAATGGGCCGCGATAATCAATACAAAATTTAAAAAGATTTGTTTGAAAATTGGGCTGCTTAATAAAATTATTATTACGTAAAATGTATTTATTTTTATCTTTTGATGAATACAAATTATGGAAAGAAATCGGGGATGAATTGGTTTTACATTTAAACATAAAACAAAGAATATTAAAAATATTAATCTCGTATATATTAAAAACTTTCATTTCAAATAAAAGAGGCTTGGCATGAGTATAACGGTCTTTAAAATATAAAAGACGTGCTACATGCTTCTGCTGACAATAAAGAGGTTTAAGTTTGTTTTTATTTGCACTACCCCAAGCAATGTTTGCATAGTTTATGTGGCAATGAATAAATGAGTGATATAATTGTACTAAAGTTTGTTTATTTAAGACATTTCTCGCTTTGTACAATATTCCTATACTTTTTGAAATTTTACTTGATAAGTTTTTAATGTGGTTTTTCCATGTAAGATTTTCATCTAAACAAACTCCTAGAAAATTAGTTACTGTTACTTTTTTAATTTGTATATTGTCAATAACAAGTGGAGGCATGTTAATTGGCAGTTTATGTTTTTTGGTAAGAGGATGGAAAAGAATCCATTTAGTTTTATCAATGTTCACGGATAGTTTGTTTGTCTTAAACCAGTCAGATATTTTGAATAACTCGATGTTCACGTTATGAAATAAAGTAGGAATGCTTTTGTGAGACATAAATAAATTAGTGTCATCAGCAAACATAATTGTTATTAAATTCGAGGCTTCGTATAGATCATTATTATAAATAAGGAAGAGAAGAGGTCCTAATATGGATCTTTGAGGAACTCCACATGTAATATTTAACAAACTTGATGAAAATGATTTATCAGCATAAACAAATTGTTTACGATTAGTTAAATAACTTTTCAACCATTTTAAAACATTGCCTATTATACCATAATATTCTAATTTTTTAATAAGAATTTGATGATCAATTGTATCAAACGCTTTCGCTAAATCAATAAATATTCCCAATGTAAATTTAGAATTGTTAAATGAGTCTGATATACTTCTTGTAAGCTGAATAATTGCATGCTCTGTTGAATTATTTTTTTTGAATCCATATTGCATGTTATATAATAATTTGTTTGTTAAAAGGTGATTGTATATTCTGTTGTACAAGATTCTTTCTAAAATTTTAGAAAAAACAGAGAGAATGGAAATTGGACGATAGTGTTTTACATTAGTTTTTTCTCCTTCTTTAAATATAGGAATAATTTTTGCTATTTTTAAATCATCAGGAAAAACTCCCTGATTAATAGAGCATTTAAAAATTTGGAAAAGTATGTCTTTTAAAACGTCAAAACAGCTTATAATAATATTTCCGTTGACATCATCAGGACCAACTGCTTTATTTGACTTTAACAATTTAAAAGCACTTTCAAACTCTTCAAAAGACAAATCAAAAGAATTTAGATACGAGTTTAGAGGGTCATATGTTGCTTTTATTAATTTTTTAGGGTTCGGAATTTTTTCGGCTAGGTTTGGTCCTACAGATACAAAATATTTATTAAATTCAGAAGCAATTGATTTTTGATCAAGAAGAAGATTATCATCTACTTTAATAACTGAGGGCAAAGATTGCGAAATTTTTTTAGTGTTGCCAGTAATTTCGTTTATTAGTTGCCAAGTGCGTTTTGAGTTTAATTTGTATTTTTCAAGTAAATTAGTGAAATATATTTTTTTTGAATTTTTCCTTAGGCGTTCAAATAATCTTACGTAATTTTTATAAATAGTCTTACTCTCAGTTGTTTTTGATTTTAAACATTTCATATAAAGTTTTTGCTTAATTTTTGAAGATTTTAGAATACCTTTGGTAATCCATGGCGATACAATTTTTTTATATTTGTAATTTACTTCTACTTTGGGAAAATTGATGTCATAAATTTCATAAAAAATTTTAAAAAAGGATTTGTATATTAAATTAATGTCTTCAGAAAAGTTTATAATGTCCCAATTAATTAACGATAGTTGATATTTAAAAGATTCTAGGTTTTTATTATGAAAAATTCGTTTTTTAAATGATTTTTTTTCATAACATATAATTTTCGCATAAATATCAATTGAAAAAAATATAGGGAAGTGATCAGATATATAACTTTTAATAATGCCTTTTTTAAGCGAATTATTAAAAATATCGTTGGTTATAATGTTATCAATTAAGGAAGTTGTTGTTTGAGTAATTCTAGTTGGTTTGTTTATTAGAGGAACTGCTCCGTTTTCATATAGGCCATTATAAAACCCATTAATGTCTTTTTTGACATGATACTCAAAGCAATTTAAATTCAGATCACCTAATATGTAAAGTAATTTTTTTTCATGGTTGCTTTTATTTATAACATCATCTTGTAAAAATGTACTAAAAGTTTTAATTTCGCCTGTAGGTGGGCGATAACAACAACTTATCACAATGTTTTTAGTTTTATTTATAACATCATCTTGTAAAAATGTACTAAAAGTTTTAATTTCGCCTGTAGGTGGGCGATAACAACAACTTATCACAATGTTTTTAGTTTTATTGTTCAATATTTCAATTGTTAAAACCTCTTTATTGACATCAGAAATACTCATGCCATGCCTAATATAATACTGAAGGTTTTCTTTTACATAAATAATTAAACCACCGCCGCGTTTATTTGTTTTCCGTCCTAATGAAATCAAATTATAGCCCGGTATTTTAAATTTATTATCTAAACTTGAGTCATTAGAACTACACCAAGTTTCAGTTATGCATATTAGACTAAAAAGAGTTAAATTTTCCTCAAAACTATTGCAAAGATTTTCAAAATATTTTTTTAAACTTCTTATATTTATATGAACTGCATTAAATTTATCATGCTCAAGAAATTCTTTTATTTCATAACTATAGAAACAGCTGCAGTTGCTTTGTAAAGCACCTGTTTCGCTAAAAAAACATTCCGGATCGGACTCTTTGTTGAGCATAAAATCATTGAATTGAAAAATATCAAAATTCTTTAACTGGTTTGAATCCATTTTAGTATTTAAAAACAATAAAAAATTTAAGATAAAATAATAACTCTAATATAAAAGAATTTCTTAATTGTCGCGCGTTACAAGTTTATTATATACAACTTTAGCATATTTACCTTTGGCTCTCAGATCTTTTGCTTCTTTAAATAACTGTTTTCGCAATTCCAAAGTTCTTTCGCTGTAGTCTTCGTTTCCAAAGTTCTTTCGCTGTAGTCTTCGTTTACGTAAAGTTATCTTTTCTTTGAAATCTTATATTGTACAAATTTTACTCCATTGATATAGTTTTTAAAATTTGAACTAAATAATTTTAAAGGTGTGAAATAAAATACACTAAAGTCTATTGGGACCACCTCAGTTCTTTCAATATTTGACATTTTACTCGACTTATTTTTGTTGTTTACTTCCGCGTATATACAAATACCATAATGAATGGGGAAAGGTCCATTAAAAGCGGTAAACAACTTTAAAAGCAACTTTCACTTAAATAAATTTTAAAAACAACTTCATTTAAAAAAAACAAAAACAGCGACAAACTTTCAATTTCCAATAAGTCGAAGCAGCACTACAACAACTTCAAAAATAACTTTCAAACAATTTTTAAACGCACAACTATTAACAAGAATATAAAAAAAAAAAAATCCAAAAAACTTTCAACAAGAAAAATTTACAGCAACTTTCAGTTTACCAACAGCAACTTTTAACAAATGCAACAAAACAACTTTCAAAAATTTTTCGACAACAAACTTTCAAAAGAAAAAAAACAACAGCAAAACCTTCCTTATTTTTTTAATCAAAAATTGCTTTCTCGATAATTTCTTTTTATCTTTAATCGATTTCTTTTACAAATTTTACAACAGTTAAAAAAACACGTCCGTTCGCTTCCGAAAAAATATCGCGAAAAATTTTTTTCAAACGTTTTAACGCGTTAAAACTTTTGAATGGTAAAACGTATAATTGATAAAAATTGATAAAAAAAGTTGAAAAAAAAAAAAAAAATCAACCTAATAGTATTGTAATTTTAATTTACTTCGTAATTATTAGTATAGCTGTTAGTCAACTACTTTACCACTTGCCAAATCACAGCAGGTAAAACTACGTTTTTAAAACGTTTCAAAGATTGAAGTATAATGAAGTTTAAACTCACTCTTTTGTTTTTGTAAAACTATGTTATTTAACAGTGCACATCAAATTTTTTGCTTGCTTAATATGAATTTGGGCGTTCTTTTTACAATAGGTTTTTTTTTCATTGATTGGTCGATCGGCTGAATTTTTTCTTTACTAATCCATAAAATTAAAACCAAAAGTTTGCTATCTAAATCTTTTCACAATCCAAATAAATAGTCATAAAATTAATTCAAATATATATATATATATATATAGATAGATAGATAATAAACAGGGCAAACATCCATCTTTAAAAATAAAACTGGTTTAAAATATCCAACTTTAACAATATTTGTTACAGCTCGAGAAAACTTGACAAATATAATCTAGTACGACTTTAAATACAATAAACTTATAGTGACAAAAATGAGTTCCTTTAAACAAATATTCAAATTAAAAATTTAAAAGTAAACGAGACAATTACAAAGAGACTGTTGGTGGGTGAAAGAGCAATTTAAAAACGTAAAATGTTGTAAACATTGAAAAAAAATTAACAATTTTATATTTAAAAAGAATTATTAGAGCAATATATTATAATACTTTCTATCAAATCTTGAAATAATTGATAGTTTTATACCAAATTCAAGAATATATAATAGATGAATCTGTAATAGATTTATAATTGGTGTTTTCATTCGAGTCCTGAATTATATATTAGATAGCGAAATAAAAATTGATGAAATGTTTATATTTTTATAAAATGCTTTATAATTCTTTCACACAAATCCTTCATGTATTCTCATGATTCTTGCTAATGACTTATAAAAAAACCTTTTAAAAATGCTAATGTTCTGTTTTCACTCGCTTTGGTGCAATGGTATAATCATCATGGTCGCTTGTGTTGTTCGGACGTTCTAATACAATTGGTTCACATTTAACTATATTATCAGTTTGTAATATTAGGTTTTCGTGTGATGTCTGTAATGGATCAAATAACGCAACAACAGAAGGGTCTAGTGTTAGGTTTCCACTTGCACGAGCTTTTTCCAATTGTCGAACTTAATAAAAAATGCTAAACATTAATTTAAATTGTAAAACTTTTTTTATTTTTTAATGTAAAACTAAAAATACCTTGCTGGTCCAATATCATATTATGTCTTTTCAGCTCGTCAATGTCAGCCTGACAATAAATAACATTGTTAAATTTTTACCTCAATTATTGCCGTAAAAAAGTATTATATATATAAAAAACGTAATGGTCCGAACAACCCTTTTATCTTTTCAGAAATCGGGTCATTAGCTCAGAAGGGTCAGTCAGAAATAATTGGGTCCTAAATTTGATGTAAGGGTTTGTCCATAAATTGCGCATTGCTAAACTTCCCATATAAACAAAAAAAAAACATCAAAATTTTTCCCTCACAGAGCCTTAAGTTGAATAAAAAAGAATAACAGCTAATTTTTGCCTCTTTTATGGAGCGATTTTAATTAGGTTTAATTAAAATCGTAAAAGAGCTAATGTTCTCCTACTTTTTTAGAAATAAATTCAGAATTTATTATAACTTAATATAACAGGTAATGTTACCTGTTATAATATACCTTATATATTATAACAGGTATATATAATATATAATATATATTATAACAGGTATGTTACCTGTATATATAATATATAATATATATTACCATATGTTATATGTTACCTGTATATATAATATATAATATATAATATATATACCAGGTATATATAATATATAATATATATTATAACAGGTATGTTACCTGTTATAATATACCTTATAGCAGGTAATAAATTTAGAATTTATTATGTATAAATCATTTATCGTAATTTATGAACGGTCTAAACTAAAAAACAATAGGTCATCAATTAAAAAAAAAGAATATTGAATACAAAAAACGTGAAAATACTTTCAAAATTTTCAATTTTTCTTTTTTATTAATGCAGGAATATACTGGTTCCATTAGGAAATACATTGTTGTTTATGGAAAACTTACCATATTTAATTGTGTTGAAAAAAGAAGAGTATAGCTTACTATTTTCTGTATTCCTGGCGTGAAGATTATGAATTTCATTTGTTTTAATAAAAAAATTCAAGAAAGAATTTGGTGGTTTATTTTTGGAGAAAGTCAAACACAAAAAGACAATTGTAAAACCTTACAAAATGATGGAGTTTTAGGATTTTTAGTTCAGAATTTTTTTTTGGATATCAGATCTAATTGGTGAAAACGTCATTATTCTAATATATGCGCGTTTTAAACTAGCAATGCTGTTGAGTTTCTATTTTGACCCAAAACAATACAACAATAGCAAAGGTGAGAAGATAATAAAGAAGAATAAATCATTCAAAGAGTTTGGATAGGAACAATGTAAAGAATTAGAGAAAGCATACTGTATTCAGTTTTATTGACATTCAAAGAAATACAATTACTATTCAGCCAGTGACATAAGCAATGAAGATCTTGATTAACCTTTTTACAAAGAGTTGTAAGTGATTTGTTGATATATAAAAGATTGATAACATCAGCATAATGATGTACCATAGAATTTTTTAATGATCAAGATAAATTATTTATATATAATAAAAACAATAATGGCCTAAGAATGGAACCTTATGGAACGCCATATTTAATAAATTTATGTGTGGATTCAAACCTATTAATTGAAACAAACTGAGTACAATCCCTAATATTGAAGAAAACTAATGATTAGCATTACCACATATTCAGTAATAGCTTAACTTTTTTATGAGAATGAATAATCGATAAAACTTTGTTTTTGTCTGAGGGTTCTATGAATATTGATTTAAGATTAGGATTTTAAAGATATTTATTTAAAGGGATCCTAAACTCCCAACACATGTTGTGTTCATATTAAAGATAATGTTAAAAAAAAGGTTTGAACCAAGTTTTTTTGATTAAAAATAAATAATGAATGTGTACCGAGAAAAACTAATGTTGTTGTTTTAGCCGAAGCTTGCCTTCTTCATTTTTTTCAATAACTCGGAGTCTTTAAATTATACGTCACAATCTACAAACTTTGGCAGATTCCTTTGAAGCGCGTTTAATTCATAAAAGTTTTAGCATTTGACGTCACGGTAGATTTTTAACAAAAGAAAAGTGAAATTAAGCAAAGCTACTTTAATTCAAAAAGTACGATATAGTAATTTTTTAACATACAGCAAAACAACTTTTACAATAAATTTTTGTAAAAATCAAAATTGATAAAAGCTTTTTATTTCATAGGAAGAACTTTTTTTTTACCGATATCATAATAATTTTTAGATTTATATATCTTACTTATCTTTATTTTGTTTTTAAATTAAAACAAATATTAAAGCTTCACTTACCAATCTTATGATTTTCATACAAGTATTTTACATTATATAGAACGTTTTATATACAGTCTCTCATTTTTGTGCAAGAGAGCGCAGTATTATATATTCTGAGTCTTACTTATTTTTATTTAAACAATGGGAACTTTTTTCTAACTTCTCTGGTTATTTTTACGCAATGATATTTATTGTTTTCCTGTCGAAAAAAAGTATTTATTAACAATTAATTTCATAAACTGAAAGTATTAATTAGAGATATATGATAAATTGTTTACTTTTTTTATTATAAAATTTTTTTGATTACGCTGATTTGTTTTAAATTGCTAAATTTAAATTGTTGTCAGGTCAGGTTTATCCTGATACTGGTAACATGTAACCCAGTACAATCTGCTTCATGTCCTGCTGCCTTGTAGGATATGCCTTTTAAGGCAAAGGCTAGGAGATGCAAACTCCGACATAAAACACCCCCTTCCTTGGGGCTCTTGGTTGAGTAAAGGCTAGAGATGGTGTCTTGATAAAAATACTCATATTGGGCAGATTTTACATGCATCCGGCTGCTGTCTTGTAGAAGGCCTCCTAGGCAAAGACTTAAGGGGTAAACAGATTCTATCTGTTGACCAGCCTCGCACCCCTTCGTCATCTATTAGGCTGGCGCAGATGTATTTTTAATACATTGTTTCCAGTTTAGGATGTTGAACGCTGGATCTTCTTGACTCGATTCATGGGTTTTGCTTGTGTCTCTGTTTTTATGACTAGGCAACTCATTCTATTATCTCCAAATGAGGGTACAGCTCTAACACTCAGTTTTATGGTTCTGAGGCCGGCTGGTAGTCAGGTTTCCCGAACTCTTTGGTAGCTCTCAGAGAGGCTGATTCCATCAACAGCTGAAAAATATCAGAGTACTAACAGTGCCATGTTGCGCATGGATGGTGTCCCTGTTTGTACTTTTGGTGTGCATTGCCAAGGCCACATTGGAGCCCTTTGTTACGGCTTAGGGTTTATTAGTGGAAATGAGGCAATTGCTTGAGCAGTGTACTGAGTACTATCTATATTATAATATATTATAATATATATATACTATATTTATAATTGCTTGAACAGTGTACTGAGTACTATCAATGTTTCGAGTCAAGTTCTTTAACAAATTTAAAAATGAATAAAGTAACCAAAAACTATAAAACACAAAAAATCACAGTCATCACCAAGTTCGCTAAACCTATCATTCACCAATATTCGTGGTCTTCGAAGTAACTTTTCTTCTGTTGAGTCTTATCTCTTGCAAAGTTCACCAGACCTGCTTGCTCTTTGTGAGACTAATTTGAGTTCAGCTGTCTCATCTTGTGATCTTAGTGGTTATCTTCCTTTAATTCGTAAAGACTCCAATAGTCACATGCTTGGCCTGGGCATTTACATTCGTAAGAATTCACCCATTTGTCGGGAAACTTGGTTTGAATCCACAGATTACTCTTTTATGTGCTTTCGTTTAGCACCACTTCACTCTATCACTTTTCTCTTTGTTCTATATCGCTCTCCCTCATCCCAAGACTGCACTCTTCTTGATGTTATTTCTGATTATATTGACCAAGCCCTCATTCTTTATCCATCAGCCAATATTGTTGTTGTCGGTGACTTTAATGTTCATCACACTGAATGGCTTGGCTCTAGTGTCAGTGACTCTGCGGGCATTAAGGCCCACAACTTTTGTCTTTCTCAATCCCTAACTCAAATAGTCAACTTTCCAGCTTGCTTTCCAGACAACCCGAATCATTTACCTTCTCTACTCGACTTATGTCTTGTTTCTGATCCTAGTCAGTGCTCAGTTTCTTCACACTCACCCTTAGGTGCGTCTGATCATGGTTTGGTCTCTCTAAAACTATTAACTCATTCTTCTTCACCATTAGAATCCCCCTATCATCGTACATCTTACAACTACCTTAAAGCTGACTGGGACTCTTTTCGTGACTTTCTTCGTGATGGCCCCTGGGTAGAAATCTTTCGTCTCCCTGTTGACAAATGTGCTTCTTACATAACTAAGTGGATTCAGGCTGGCATGGAATCCTTTATTCCCTCTCGACGATTCCAGGTCAAGCCTCACTCTTCTCCATGGTTTTCTTCACATTGTGCTGCCTCAATTGCCAATCGAAACCATTACTCCCATATCTATCAGCAAAATAATTCTCCAGAAAACAGACATCTCTTTATTACTGCTAGGAACCATTGTAAAAAGGTTTTGTTTAATGCCAAAACCCGCTATTCTCAGATCATGAAATCTCGAATTTCATCACAAAAATTAGGCTCTCGTGACTTCTGGAGAATCTTTAATAGTATCAATAATAAGGGCAAGTCTGTAATTCCACCTCTTTTGTACGGTTCAGACTTTGTCACCTCACCTAAAGACAAAGCTGAATTGTTTGCCAAGAACTTTTCATCAATATCATCTCTTGATGCCACTAGTTGCGTTTTACCTGATATACCCGTCAAACAGGTTGATCCATTGCTCGACATTCGTATCACTCCAGCTTGTGTATCTAAAGTGATTTCCCGCTTAGACTCTTCTACAGCTTGCGGCCCGGACAGCATACCTGTTATAGTCTTGCAGAAGTGTTCTCCTGAGCATCTGTTATCCCTATTTTTAAAAATTCTGGAGAGCGATCTGACTCATCTAACTACCGTCCCATTAGTCTTCTTCCTTTCATAAGCAAGGTTTTTGAATCTTTAATCAACAAACACTTAATCTCTCATCTCAAATCTCATAACTTACTTTCTAATCATCAGTATGGATTTCGATCTTCTCGTTCTACGGCTGATTTGCTATCAGTAATAACTGATA